GCTTCTACCAGCATAAGAAGCAGCCGTACCTCTACCGCTATCATGATCACACGCCCGGCCCGTTCCTGACGCAGCTCGTTTCCTCCCTCACCGCTTTCCTGTGCGGTCTCAACCCGCTGCTGGCTGCCTCCTCTCTAGGTGCGGTAGCGGGGGGGGAAGGGAGAGGGAAGTGGGAGCCCTTGGGTGGTGGGGCCGGTCTGTGAACATGGCAAGGAGTGTCGGTGCTGTAGCTGAGTTGTTCGTCTTAGTAATTCATCATAGTAATTCATCTCGTCTCCATCGGCCTACACGGTGTGAGTGGATTTTGATTTTTGTGTTTTACTGCAACTACAGAACAAGAATTAGGAGGGTTTTAAATGCAAAGGAGTGCTCTCTGTTTCTGTCTATCCCTCTTGTTCTGTTTCAGATCTAAAACCTGAAGTCAACTATTACTGGCATCATGGCGAGGAAGTTGTTGTTCATGGACATCGAAAGGGTAGAGTTGACCCTGTGCGGTTTCAGATTGATGATAAACCACACCTCCAGATCCGTGTATCAAAGCAACTTCCAGAGGTGTGGATATTTTCAACAGATAGTTAGTCACACGCATTTTCATTTATGTTTCTGACAGTCACTGAAACCGTGCAGTAGGTATTACGTTGAAGACCTAGTTAATCAGGCGTGTAGCACATTTGAGCATTTTTCAAGGCTTAATGCGCTTACTACCTTGTTGTGGTAACTGCTTTGTAGATATTGGGACAGTCTTCTGAACTTCAAGTTGGTAATCTTTGTGTTTTAGATAAAATACATGTTGTTACACTTAATTGAGTGGAGTTTTAAACATATTATATGCTTGTAAGTGGAGGCAAAAATAAGAAACGTAGTGTGGAGCATGTTTCTCCTCAGCGGAGGAGAATAAGATGACAGAAATGCAGAAGAAAAGAATGGAGTTTGAGAGAGTATCTGTAATCTGAGTGTGAGTTCTGTTATCTGTCAGCGCTGCTTAGCAGTTGTTTTGCTGAATGCTCAGTTTTCTGGAAGCTAATTCAATATTCTAATCTTTTTCTTCTATACAATGGTAATTTTATAACCTGTGAGGGTCTGTGTTGCCCGGTTTCCAGCACAAACAGAAAACTGTGCTTCACTTTGTGTAAATGCTGAACATTTCTTGCTAACTTCATTGGACAATTTACTTAGGTTAGTAATTTCACATGTTACAAACCTTGGCATTTTGAAAGAACTGTCTAGGCAATTAAAATTGTTATGTAATGCAGAACACTGAATACCGGTAAACTTACTCTGTTGGTTCAAGTTAGTTTATTGACATCTGCTAGAAATGTTTTTGCTCATCTACAGAAGCTGATTCTGGTTTTGAAGGTAGTAACAATTGGCAGCTATGTTAGCACAATTTCACAAAAAGTAAAATTGCAGAAAATTCAGACATCACTATAAAATGCATGTACTAGCACTCAACAGAAGACAACAAGTTCTGTTGCAGAAAATGAATTTCAGCAAGACTTGCATCTTCTGCTCTGTGACCAGAAAGTGGCATGTTATATGAGGCCTGATGTCAGAAAGGTGACTTACATCGTGGCTTTTCTTTATTCTACTTCCTTAAAGATTGTACCGCTGGAGTCAGATCTTGGAGATGTTCCCGTTATTGAACATAAACCATCCAAACTGCCGTTGTTCAAAAAGCAGTACGAAAACAAAGTATTTATAGGTAAGAGTTTATAGTCATGAGATGTTAACTGCTTTTTGCTTAAAACCACAAAACAACAAAAAATTCCCAACCCCAAAATAAACACCCTGATCTTTCTCCTCCCATCAACAGAAAATAAATTTATATATTTTTATATATAACTGTAATAGATAAATATATATAGCATATAATTCTCTATTGAAATTCTGTGTCAGTTAGGCAATGGGGAGTACCATCCTCTTGTGTGTATGGTATGCTGTGTCGAGATTTGCTTGAAGGAGTTGGGTTGAATAGAAAATTGGCAGAAAACTGGCTGTGAGTATTGATGTGTCTCCTCAGAGACATTTTAGTGTATGAACTCTCGCCTTTTGGAGTCGAGCAAGCCCTTCAGTCTCACCCAGAAATGGAGGACTCGCAACATAAGAGTGTTCTTTGACTGACTCTTTAATTTTTTTCTTTTTGGGGAATGCAGGATCAAAGGTAGCAGATCCATGCTGTTATGGACACACCCAGTTTCATCTTATTCCTGATAAACTAAAACGGGAAAGGCTTATAAGAGCACGTCTTGAGGATCAGATTGAAGTTGTTTATCGAGCTAATGGTATTGCAAGTCTCTTTGCCTGGACAGCAGCACAAGCAATGTATCAAGGTGAGACAGTCAACTTAGAATGGTTTGGGTTGGAAAGGACCTTGGAGATTGTCTGGTTCCAACCCCCCTGCCATGGGCAGGGACACCTTCCACTAGACCAGGTTGCTCAGAGCCTCATCCAGCCTGGCCTTGAACACCTCCAGGGACAGGGCATCCACAGCTTCTTTGGGCAACCTCTTCCAGTGCCTCACCACCCTCACAGTAAAATATTTATTCCCAGTGTCTAATCTAAACCTACCCTTGTCTTGCCAATCGACGGGGATAGCATGGAGAATACAGGCACCAAAAAAAGTAAACTTACTTTTACTTATGTCCAAAGTGACAAAGTAATAAGGAAAATAGTACAGAAAAAAATAAAGCAAGATAAGGTAAAGCAGCAAGACAACAAGCAGACTACTGCAGCAAGCACAAAATAAGGTAGTGCACCTAGTCATTACTACGTAGAGTTAGCGATAGGTACATCACCAATTGCCTATATTACCATCATCCAGATCCACAGTCGCTGGGGAGCCCGTTTACAGCAAAGGATTTGGAGAACTCATCCCAGCAATTGGGAAATCTCTGTACAGTGTGTCAGGCTTCCAAATTTCCCTGCAAACAGTCCCCAGTTTTATACAGTTAAAAAAACAACTTTCTATCTTAAGCTGCGAAAAACATGTGGTGTAGTTTTTTTTTCCTTGTTAACTTTTTCCCGCGCTTGGCCAGAACCCCAGAAAAAGTTAATAAGAAGTAAAGGTATCTGGTTGTCTTTGATTATGCGTCTCTAAACAAAGCCTGTCACCGCCCTGCTACGTTCTGTCGCGTAGAGGTCTGTTTGTCGGTTTGATATAGGTACATCTCTTTGGCAAGTGGGGCTGCTGTTACACAACTATTATTTTACAGCAAACGTTACAGCAATGCTCTATAAGCGTTACAACAAAAGCTTTTATAAATTGGCATATATTCATTATTTATTGCATATGTGATCAATAGGATACATATTAGGTATATTGTTAGGTTGTGAGGTTCACCTAGAGGTCAATTTTGGTTCAGGGTCTCACTGCTCAGGCCCTAGTATTTCAAACCTCTTTCAGCTTATTGTGCTGTCACTACACTCCCTGACAAAGAGTGTTTCCCAATCCCTCCTCTAGGCCCCCTTTAGGTACTGGAAGGCTGCTTTTAGGTCTCCCCAGAGCCTTCTTTTCTCCAGGCTGAACAACCCCAACTTTCTCAGCCTGTCTTCCGATGGGAGATGCTCCAGCCCACTGACCAATTTCGTGGCTCTCATCTGGACTCTCTCCAAAAGGTCCAGGTCTTTTTTATGTTGGGGGCCCCACAGCTGAATGCAGTACTCCAGCTTGATGAAGTCTTCCTGGTGACAAATGACTACTGTAAAGTTCTCTAACCTTTTCTCCACACCACCTTTTTCTTGTGCTTTTTCTTCTGGAGATTAACCTTTAAGTAGGTCTTTGAAAATTTAATTGAACCAATGAATGAAGCAGACCCTATACAAGGGAGTTAGGTAAGACTTTGCCTCCGGGTACGTTGACTTGGAAAATTAATTAATGCAGAAAAATATTTTTTCATACATATAACACTGAGCCAGTGCGAAACCCTTAATCCTGTATTCACTTGCTCGCTTCACATTTGTTACAGGGAAAGGTGGTAGATATCAAGCAGTTTGTTTGTTTGTTTATGAAATTGTCAAAAAATGTCAGCAGCCTTACTTTAGGATTTTATGCCTATGTTTGTCAAAAAATGCCAGAAGACCTGAATGGGTAGGCCAGATCAGTCTATTGCTTGTTCATGTAACTCTAATTGTTACCTAGTGTTACTGGAGAATACCTGCTGGTTTCTAGTTTCACTTGTGAAATGACACATGGAAGAAAATCCTTTGACTGTGATCTATATTGCTGGCTCTGCATCCAATTTTTTATGCAATAGTATGTTAGAAAGCTTGATTTTTTTCTGGATATAAAACATCAGAGTCAATTAAGTCTTGGCCTCAAAGCTGGTTACAGTTGTAAGCACTTTATGTGGACAGTATGATTCAAACCTATGAAGTTTTTTCTTTGTTCTGTCAGTTTCTAGCAGTGTTCATTGAATGTGATACAAAATATTTTTTAAGAGTGTTACTATGTGTGCTAGCACACATACATAAATATGTAAAGAAAATATTTTTTAAAAACTATTAATACTCAGCAGGGGTTGTATGAAGCACCAGAACTTTTTGACGTAGTGTTCTTGGTGTTGTCCAGCTGGTTACTGGAGTCAGTTATGCATAAATACACATTCTTCTATCATGAAACAAATGTTCAATGCCATGTGATAAGCGTGCAATAGCCAAAACACATTTCCCTTCAGATCACTTGCAGGACTTGGATGCATTAATAGTGTATGTAATTTTGAAAAGTCACTTGACTGATCAGCATAGGGTTTTTATCAGTCAATGATAGGGAACTGTGTACAAAATGCAAGTATGCCACTGTGTCCCTGATCCTGGAGATATCCTTAATTGGTGGTTGTGTTTCAGGTATTAGTCTGTGTGAAGAATGCTTGTGTTGCTAAAGTAGATGGGACTTTTTCCCATACGAAGTGGCTGCTGCAATTCACAGTATTTTTCTGTATTTCAGGTTTGGGATTTAGATGTGTGTGCTGATAGGAATTTAGAGTCCTGTATAACTAGTGTTTCTTTATTTTGTAGGATTCTGGAGTGAAGCAGATGTGACCCGTCCTTTTGTATCACAAGCAGTAGTGACTGATGGAAAATACTTTGCTTTCTTTTGTTACCAGCTAAATACTTTAGCACTAACTGTAGAAACTATTCAAAATAACCCTCGGAAGAATATCTGTTGGGGTACAGACAGTAAGCCGTTGTATGATGTTGTGGAAGATGGTAATGTGAAAGGCTTTAATGATGAAGTTCTGCTTCAGTTGGTTCGTTTTCTGTTAAACAGACCAAAAGAGTTGTAAATCATTAAACAGTAAAGTATTCCTGTTTGTGTCTGAACCTCATTGTAACTCTATAAGGTATGGGCTAGAGTATGCCTTGTTCTTTCTTAGTCAAGTATTTGTCTAGCAAACACTATATACATCTTTTATGATATTTTGGCCTTATTTCTTTATTTTAAATGTATGAGACTGTACACTGAAAAATAAATGTCTAGAATACCATAAGGGCTTTTGTATATTTACTATTAGAAGTGTATTTCACTAATTCAAAGTCATGTTAATATTTCTAGCATATCTACAGCTCTTTTTTGAACTATCACAGAAAAGTATGAATTCATGTGACCATCTGATTATGTCACTAGGTAAGTGCTATCTTGATATTCGGGACAAGTGAAAAATTTATAATTTTGTGCCCGAAAGGAAATTCGTTGTGTTAAATGCTTATGCGGTGTAAAGAGAAAGTGAGCTCAGAATAAAAGGTGTTTCTTAAAAGTGAATGGTTGTCAATTTAGTTACATAGCAAGGGAATTTTTTAGACACTTATCGAGCAGTAGTATAAACATGATGAAACTTGCTTCCAAAAATTCTGTTATGAATATGCATGCACTTTTTTAAGCAGTCACCTCGAACCACAGAGAGAACTCTCAGATGCATTTGGAGCCCATAGTTTTCTCTTTAGGTAGGGACCTTGATTTCAGCTGTAGACACCTTGATGTTTTCATTACTGGTATTTGGATGTATCCTGCCTGTTTTTAGTAGCCCACAGCTGAGTCCAAACTATGACTAGGGTCTCTGATTAGTAAGATACAAGATGTAAGGACTGTTTAGGAATATTTACTTACCAACAAAGTATGTCTGTTTTTGAGGTAATTAAACACACCTAGAATTTCACATAGTTCCATGTGTGCTACTGACCTTTTTTAATTTTTTCCAGGGTTCTTGTTAAGAGTCAAGTAGTTTGTTTTTAAAGGGAGTACTGGATCATACGTGACTTACTGAAATACTTGCTTGCACATTCTTAAGCCTGAGAAGCTGGGGATCCTGTCTTAGAGAGTATTTTGCTAGTGAGGTAGTTGTGGAGTCTTCTCTGGTTGGTACTTTGCTATGTTGCACTCTAGTTGTCACTTTCTCCACCAGCAGAAGATAGTCTAGATAGGTAAAATGTGCATGAGTACTTTTTAGCAGAAGTAAAAAGTTCTTAAGCGCTCTTTGTGTCATAACGATGCTTAAGTATTATGAGTTCTGATCACTGCTGATCCTTGGGTTAAATAAATGTTCCATATAGGAACTGAAGATAAACTGCTGGGTAGGCATGTTGATTGTGGAGAATCACCTGTGACCTAGCTTAAGTTTATTGATTTAAATCAATAAACTTTAGTTTATTATGTTTAGTTTGTTAAATGACTTTAAGTGATTGATACTTATTTTCTGATGTGATAAAACGATGATTCAAAATGAATGGAAGGATATTCAAAAAACTAGTTGGGTATTCTGACCTTGCAGACAGTCTTTCCAGCTGGTGCAATATGGTATTGCCATTAGTTTGAAACCATAAGTTGCATAGAAGTCGTGGCTATGGAAGGCTGACATGTAAAGTCAAAGAAACTCCTGCTCGCAGGAGGAAAAGAGACTTGTTTTCCTGTGATTCAGCCTTTTGTCTGTCCTGAGACTTCAGCTGTAGTAGAGCAAGTTCAAAGAACAACTTTTTTTCCTTTGTGCGGCTCTACTAGTGACTAAAATGCCACTATAGATGTGTAACCTGGTTGAAGAACCCTGTGTTGGACTGAGGAAGGAAGGGAGGAAGGCTTAGCATGAGCTGGCTATTTTGTAATTACAAAGTACCAGATTCAGCTTTCTGCAGCTGTCTCAAAAGTCAAGGGGATACCGTGGAAAAGCAGTGGGTGGCACTGTTTACCTTCTACTGAGGAAAAAGTGTAATGGGCGTTTTGCCTTTTTGTCACTGACTGGCAAAATTGAGACATCGCAATGTATGCAGTTTTCTACAGAAATCTTTAATCTTGTGCTCATCTGCTCAGGGTGTTTAATACTACCTTATAATGATAAAGTCAAAGTGCTTCTTTTTTTTTTTTTTCTAACGATTTTATAGCTACTAGATGTTTAAAAGTAGAAAGCTTAGAAGCTGCAGCATTCCTATTCTTGAGCTTTGCTCAGCAGAAATGTCCTTGTGATGCTATTCCTTTAAGTCTCTTGAGAGCATTGTTCTTTAGCATTCTATTTTGTTGAGTTTGCTGTTTAAAAGAAACAAAGAAAGGCAATTCAAAGAACACAGGATGGAAATCTCCAAGTTTGGATCTTTTTTCCAGTATTAATTTCTGCTTAGGTCTATTGGAGCATATCACGCAGGAACAGAAGGAGGAATCTAAAAGTAAGATTTTTTTATTTTTGCATAATGAGGCAAGTATTTTTTCTAGTACTGAGTTATTTTGCTTGAAACTTGTATCACCCTAAAGCGGGTGAGTGATTTAGTAAATTCTACCTGTACTGTTGTTTCAGATTATGAGACTGTAAGTGGTGACTTGGAATGGAACTACCTGGGCAGCCTTTCACAAAATTAAAGCAGAAAGGAGGAGACGGGAAGACTCTGAAACGTTCTTGTATCTATATAGGGTCATGTTGCACCAAGTTAGGTAGTTCTGTTTAGTTAGAACTATCTGGGGTAGATAGCTCTGTTTCCTTTCAGACAGGAGAAATAGCTTCAACATTTATAGTGTCTGCTTGGTCATGCAGAAGTCTCTCCTGATACCTCTTCCGTGCTTGGGTTTTCTGTTGTTGGAGAAGACACCTGCTCCTTTTATCTCAGAAGCAGATGAAGGTTTCCTTGTTCTGGAAGTCCATTGAGGTGTTTTTCCTGAGGCAAGAGCAACTCTTGAAAACAGCTGTTGGTGAGAGAGTCTATTGACAACTTGGCCTACTGGTTCTGTAGACACCATGCATGCTGTCAGTATATCTCTGATGGAAGCAATGGAAGTGGCTTTCCAGGATATCCTGTGCTGAAATGAGCCATCCTCAACCAGTAGTATAACGAAAGTGCACTGGAGTAGGACACCTGTGAAGTTTGCGTTGAGTCAACGCAAGGTCTGGTCCGGTACAAAGTAATGATGTCCTGTGTCAGTCTAATATAACTCAGTCTATAATAATATATGTATAAATATATATAATATAATAAACGTAGCCCCAAGAAAGCTTGCAGAAGAGATTGCACAAGAACTGCTTTTTCATGAAGGAAGGAATTTATCAAGTAGGTAGAAGTGTGAAAGTAAATGGAACATCAACTAGCTGACAGTGAAGACGATGAAGTAAGTTAGCAGTGACGAAACTTGAGGTAGCATCAAAAACAGCCTGCTTGCAAACACTTTGTGCCTCTGCATATGTTATATTCTAGTAGTATACCAGAACCCCACCAAGACAAGACCTTCAAGAAATACAGGTTGAGAATCCTAAAAAAATATGAATTAGAAATGTACATAACAGCTAATATGAAGTTCTCTGTGTCTCTGTCCAGGAACAGTTGCTGTGAAACGGTGGTTTTTGTTGTTTTTTTATTTTTTTGCACATTCTCTCTCTTCCAACAGATTGTCATTCCCACCAAAAGCAATAAAACCAGTCACCATAAAGCCAAATATAACAAATCCCTGACAAGGAAAGGGCAGGTAGTTGCTAAGGGAGGAGTGCTCCTGTGATTCCATTACTGAAGCCTACTCTGGTATTCCTGGGTAATACTGACTAGTGGTAGAGTAGAATCCCACAATGGGTCTGAGATGGGTAGAGGAAAACAGGTGTCTGCTCCCCCTCTTTTGCTATTGTGAAAGGATGGCAAGTGCAGGTAATACTGCATTTGACAGTTTGACAGCCTGAGGTTATATCAAGAACGTGAGAGAAATCAGAAGTTGCTCAGCCAGGTCTAGGTGGATTTGGTTTGAGACATTTGTAAAGTGGATCCTCGGGCGGAGTTCCTGGCAGGGCTGATCATCTTGTGGCTGGTTGGGCACAGAAGAGGTTCCAGATAGTATTAAAGAGGCCCATCCTGTTCTGATTCTGGGAATCTTGGACCATGAATTGTTGGAGGATGCTAGTAAATGGAGGCCAGTAATGATTACAGGGATTGTGCTGCAGCCCTTCTCTAGTATACAGACAAATTATGTAGTGTTTACCCAGTAAATACATGATAAAATGAATTTTCAGAACTGAGTTTCTCAGACTTGGCTGTCCTACATCTAGAAATATGCTAAGAAGAATTACAAGCTACAAGGAGTTAGTGTATGGACACTACTGATACTTTTATTAGTACATGTTGAAATGCAAAGGGAGGAAGTTGTGAACCTCACTGCATCCTCCTACAGGAGCAGAAGTTTAGAATGAAAGGGATTATTCATATCTAATTCAGAATGAAGGAAGGTAGTTTAAAGTCTGCCATGCTATTTGACCGGGTAACTAACCCATGGGTCTTGAAGCTGGAGTTTCAAGATGTGAGGTTAATAATTTCCTCAGCTTTGAAGACTTTATGAGTTTATTTACAACATTTTTGAAAAATCCTTGAAGAAGACACAGAGGTAAAAGGACGTTTGCCATGCTTTTTTATGTTTCTGCAGGACTAAGTGCTATCTAATTTAGGCTTTTGGAGAGATAAATAATTCTTCCAGACAGGACAGGCAGCTTTATGGTGTCTGCTCAGCTGTATTGACTTGTAACTATCTGCAATAATTTAATCTATCCTTTTTTTTTTTTTTTTTTAGTGTGCCTGGTTTCTGCATAATTTGAAAGTTCTGTCTTTAGCTGAAATACTTGTTGAGTGAACATTCAGTATTTATTCTTGATCTTTTAATAAATGAAGTTCAGTTTTTTGGACTCCTGCTACAGAATCTTCTCCATATTACCCTTCTCATTCCTACTAAATAATGCTTGATTTCACTTGTTTTCCTTCCCTGTACAGCAAGAAGAGTTGATCTTAATGTATTTCCTTTAAAGGAAATGTTCCTTCCATTTCTTTCCTCTTTTTTACTTTCAATATTCCTTTAACCTGGAATCAACTCAGTATGCTTTGTCACTGCTCTGAAGGGACACGATGTAGGATCATTTTCACTGTTGGAAGGTGTAGCTTCTAACACTAGAGTGTCTGCACTGCAAATGTGCATGATTTTGTCAGTCAGCTATCCCACAGCAGGTT